AAGAAGACATTTCAACACACTTCAGCAATAAACAAAGACACACAGATGTTCGTCTAGAGTAATGTGTGTTTATTAGTACGCTTGAACTGGATCATCGAAGCTCAGAAGCTAATAGAATGGGATTAAATACATAAAGCATATTTGTGTTGTTTAACATTTAATTATTGCAGGTTTGCATCATATTCTAAGTTGCATTATTTTTATTCATTTTGAGGAATACTGAATCTGTGTTTTTTGTGAGTGAGATGAATTAATGCATATTCATATTTATTTTAGAGCTACAGTAACATCTTCTGATTTCTGTCACCATGGCAACACCAGAGCTGTCACTCAATAAACTGGAAACAAAGTAACTTGCGTTACTTATTTGAAAAAGTAACTCAGATCTTCTCTTGTAAATTAAAAAGTAATGCGTTACTTTACTAGTTACTTGGAAAAGTAATCTGATTACGTAGCTGGCGTTACTTGTAATGCGTTCCCCCCCGACACTGCTCACCGTTACATTATCTGGAGAATCCACTGAGAGCGGAGCGTCTTTACTACGAGTGTCTTTAGTGGACTTTATCGTGCCGTTATTATTTGAAGTGTGTATTGGTAGGACAGTGATTTGGAGAAGGAGAAACGTGACTTTGGTGAACGAATGTTTGTATTGAACGGCACAAAGGCATGCTGGGTAAATGATGTTACTTGTTTTTTAAAGAACGTGTTTGTTTTAGAAGAGGTGAGCATGGAGCGGCTTCGTCACGGTTCGTTATAATTGCAACACTTTTTAGATTCGCGTTTGCTTTAGTCCATTCTGTCTGAAATAAGAGAAATACACCCATGACGCCGTTTGGTTTTGAGGTGACTGCTCGGCAGGAAAGTTAGGACTTGTTTAGATATGTTTATTTGCTCTGTACTGTATATTTAGGGGTATCTCATGCTTGGCCAGTTCCCAGTTTTTGGGGGTCAGGCGTGACTAACTTGAAGCCTATGCACTAGGGTTTGCATTGTACTGTAATGAACAGTTTTGTTGTTCCTCAAAAGCTGAATTGTGTCTTTGTCGGTGTGTAGCCCAATAAAAGTGTACAGGTTGAACTCTCTCTCCTCGATTATTATAAACACTGATTATGCCAAATTCACGACACATTTGCATGCTTTTATCAGCAACATAAAAGCACATGGGAGAAACGTGATTATAAAATGAATAATTTTCTAAAAAATTGTATAAAGTAAAGATAAAATAATATAATTATTCCTTTTAAATGGGGTTTCTTAAATGTTTCAATTCAGACTTGAGCCAGTATATTATACTATTTACATTAATATATGTACTGTATATACTACATTATACCCAAAATAAATAAATAAATAGCAAAACAATATTAACACAATTGTTTTTATAAAAACCTCTCTATGACTGATTAGTCATGTTTGTCACTATAGTTGGTGTATTAACTTGTATTTAGTGTTAATGTTTTATTATTTATTGATTTAAGTAATTTCCAGGTCTGGAAAAGTATGGAAAAAATTTGCATTTCTAGTTTTTTTTTTTGCCTCTATTTAGTTTTTTATTATAGAAAATTAAGAATGTAATGAAAACAAGTTTATCATACAAGAAGTGTTTTTATGGCAGCTGTTTAGTTATTGTTAAACACGACTGGTGCACTTTTTCATTTTGGGTTTCTTACGATATTCTTAGCACCGTATTACATAGCCTCAAGACTTTTATGTGCACGCAAGAAACCATTAACCCTGTCATACAGCACAGTGCGCACTGAGCCACCTGTTGTGCCATCAGCCCATTTCATGTCACGGAGGATGAGCTAGATTAGAGATTAGGCCTTGATATTAGAGGTGCTACCACAAGATCTCTGTTCATTCATGTGCATCCATGCTCTCGCTTTATTCATAGCAAGACGGCAGTGATGCACAAAGGGAAGGGGTTATATAAAACTAGACATTGTAATGCATAAGCACTCCAAAAAGATTCTTGTGCGCATGCGCAGAAGTCTTCATTTTTGTAGGCGCTCCGTATGTTCACTTGTATGTTTTATCACTTCAAAAATATCAATGAAAAAAAACCCTGGAAAAAATCCAATATTTACAGGTGACTGTAATATACACCAAATATAAAGCTGAAAATAGTTCTGTATGAACCATTTATGTGGAATATGGGCCGCAAATGTACTGAGAGGTTTGGAAATTTGAGTCTGGAAAAGTGTGGAATTTTAAAATGTGCAGGAACCCTCCTATGAGCCCTACCGAGTGCGACCTACCGAGTGAGCCCTACCGAGTGAGCCCTACTGAGTGCTTAACAGAGCTTAACAGTGCGCCCTACCTAGTGAGCCCTATTGAGTGCTTAACAGCGCTTAACAGTGCGCCCTACCGAGTGAGCCCATTGAGTGCTTAACAGCGCTTAACAGTGCGCCCTACCGAGTGAGCCCTATTGAGTGCTTAACAGCGCTTAACAGTGCGCCCTACCGAGTGAGCCCTATTGAGTGCTTAAACAGTGCGCCCTACCTAGTGAGCCCTACTGAGTGTTTAACAGCGCTTAACAGTGCGCCCTACCGAGTGAGCCCTATTGAGTGTTTAACAGAGCTTAATAGTGCGCCCTACCTAGTGAGCCCTATTGAGTGCTTAACAGAGCTCAACAGTGCGCCCTACCGAGTGAGCCCTACCTAGTGAGCCCTATTGAGTGTTTAACAGTGCGCCCTACCTAGTGAGCTCTATTGAGTGTTTAACAGAGCGCCCTACCTAGTGAGCTCTATTGAGTGTTTAACAGAGCTTAACAGTGCGCCCTACCAAGTGAGCCCTATTGAGTGTTTAACAGAGCTTAACAGTGCGCCCTACCTAGTGAGCCCTATTGAGTGTTTAACCGAGCTCAACAGTGCGCCCTACCTAGTGAGCCCTATCGAGTGCTTAACCGAGCTCAACAGTGCGCCCTACCTAGTGAGCCCTATCGAGTGTTTAACAGCGCTCAACAGTGCGCCCTACCTAGTGAGCCCTATCGAGTGCTTAACCGAGCTCAACAGTGCGCCCTACCTAGTGAGCCCTATCGAGTGTTTAACAGCGCTCAACAGTGCGCCCTACCTAGTGAGCCCTATCGAGTGCTTAACAGAGCTCAACAGTGCGCCCTACCGAGTGCGCGGAACCCTGTCCGTGGTCCTGAACGCGCACCGTCACGTGGCCACACAGCCGCAGACCGCAGCGATGGAGCGGCCGGAGAGCTTGGAGAAGATGAAGCAGCTCTGCAGGAGAATACAAGACGCCTTCAGAGAGCTCCAGGAAGACCTGACGCCCTACAAAACCGAGCGCTTCTACAGGTAACAGCTTACTCAGCGCCATTAACGGGAGCTACATCAAGTCTGGTTTATTACACATTTAGTCCTTTAGCAGATGCTTTTATCCAAAGCGACTTAGAAATGAGGACAACAGAAGCAATCAGACCAACAAAAGAGCAATGATAGTCTCAGTTAGCTTAACAGTGTGTGTGTGTGTGTGTGTGTGTGAGAGAGAGAGAGAGAGTGTGTGTGTGTGTGTGTGTGTGACAAAAAGAAAACAAGCAGATAGAATAGAGAAGGCATTTTGTGTTGTGAAAGTGTTAATTAAATAGAATTATTCATTTATATAGACACAAACAATGGCGCGTTAAAAATAGCGTGCAAATCGTATTAATTGATATGAAAGCAATAGCGCAGATGGCGCATGCGCACTGCGGCGGCGGTCACGTGAGCTCGGGCGGGTGACGTCAGCGGGCTGATGTGTGCGGATGTGCTGCGCGAGGATGGAGAGGTAAGCGGAGCACCAGCACTACAGCTCAGACTCTTCTAGACGCGCTAGAGTCTCGCGGCGGCATAAACTGTGTTTACTGTTATCAATAATTCATTCGTTACATGTACAGTTACTTTATATTTACAGTCGCTTTTGTGTGTCGTGTTTGCCGCTGTCTCAGGTGGGCGTGATCTCATCTCATTTCCTGTGTGTGTGTGTGTGT